AGGTTGAGGAGCGTCTGGGCACCGGCGTGGGAGTTGACAACGAAGATCACCCTCGCTTTGCCTTCGCGAACCTGCGTGTTGGTTAGGGAGCTTGCCCATCTCAACGCATCTTCCGGAAATCGCTTCGCGGCGCACGTCGCAGCTGGGATCTCGCTCGCTGCGCTGGTTCTCATCCACTTCCAGGATGACGGCTCCCCAGCTGGAGTACAGCACGAAGTCGGCGAAGGCGCGCTGCGTCTCTGACTCCAGCCCGCAGCCGCGGAAGGGCAAGTGCTGTTGGTACTCGAACTGCAGGCCGGCTTGGCCCAGCAGCTGGTGCACCTCCAGCTCCTTGCGCTTCGTGAGCGCCTTGGGATTATCGCCGTGGTAGGAGCGCATGTGGGACCGCAATCTGCATGCCCTGCTGAACCGATGCCCTGCCATGGCGCAGCCTTCGATGGTGCATACAAAGTTTTGGCATTCCCAGCAGCCGTAGCGCTGTCGCCCGTGCTGACAGATGCTTGATCCTCCGCACTCGCGGCAGATTTGTCGCCGACGGTTGTGCGGACAGAATACTGATCCTCCACAATCGCGGCATTGACTGCGAATGCGATCATGCTGACAAATGCCGGAGCCACGGCACTGAAGACAGCGCCCGCGCTCCTTCCCATGCTCACAAATGCTCGAACGCTTGCAGTCTCGGCAGGATGCACGCTGGCGACCATGCGTGCAAACGCTTGCACCGTTGCAGTCTTTACAAACCTGTCGTCGGCGTCCGTGCTCGCAGAAACTCGATCCGCCGCACTCTCTACAAGCGTCTCTGCGCCGTCCGTGCTCGCAGATGCCCGCGCCTCCGCATTCTCTGCAATGATTGCGCTGGCGATTGTGTTCGCACTTCTTGGCCGGTTTTCGCGCCTGTGGCATGGCTGCCGGTACCGCTTACAACAAGCTCCTCAGCTGCTCACACCATATTTCCTATAGTGCCCGGCAGCTCAGTCGAGAACGCTCACGCCCGAGCCGCTGAGGGTGGTTACCTGGAACGACAGCAGGCGCACGTAGCACTGCTGAACCTTGTCTGCTTGAAGCCCCTTGAATGAGAAGCGCGCCAGGTCGCCAGCGCGTGTCGAGATGCCGCTGAGAGGCATACCGGGCACGCGCTGCACCGGATAGGCAGCGACAAAGGAGCTCCCCTCAAACATGTTCTTGGTCAGGCGCATGTTGCGGATCGAGGAATCGTAAGTGTTGGCCAGTATCTGCAAGAAGTGGTGGTGCTCAGCAAAGTCCTTCTGAGGGTAGGGGAACCTGCATGGGGCCCAGCGCCATCTGCGACTCCAAGAAGGAGGTGCCATCGGCCTGGGTGCCGGGGTGATTCAGCGCAGCCACGTTCGACTGGTCGGTGAGCGTCCTAAACGTAACAAACGCGCCCAGCAGCTTCGTAAAGGCACGACTGACCGTGACGTTGAATTTAGTGGAGTCCGCCGGAACCGAGGTCACCTGCGTGGCGACCGTAGGATAGGAGAACACAAGGTTGCGGCCCGACAGCAAGACGCGGTTGAAGGATTCCACGAGCGCCGAATCGAGTGTAACCTGGAAGGCCAAAACTCGCACGTTCTGAAGGTCGTGGTCTACGCTGCTGTTGGTGCCCCCGCGCACTACATCCGCAGGGTCCGCAAACTCGATCTCTAGGACGAGGTTCCCGCCCCTGTAGAAGAACCAGAGCAGGTCCCAGAGTCCGAGCCGACGCCGGCCATGATGAGGGCCATGCGGCAGGTGTCGCGGACGGACCGCTTCGAGGAGCTGCTCTCACGCAACACCATGGAGTTCTGACATAAGACAAAGAACCATGCAGAGCATCGAGCCGCGCAACAAGCAGCTGATGCTGCGGCAGTTCGGGAAGAAGTACTCCACCTACAACCTGAACGCGCTGATGCGGAAGCGCGACGAGGAGCTCATGGACGCGAAAGCATTCAACGAGTGGGTCGCGAATCGAAGGTTGAAGCAAGAGGGCGAGAAGTACGCCGACGCCATGGGCCGCGTGACGGAAGCCGTGAATCGCAGAGTTCCGCAGCTGCGGTGGGCGGGCGCAGAGCGGCGGCAGGTCCTCCGAGCCGCCCAACAGGTCGCCGCGCAGTACTAAGCAATTGCCACTGTACGCGCTGCATCTCCTGTTGAGCTGCGGCGGGAGCATTTTGCCGCAGTTTAGGAGCCCTACGAGCGTCGGCGCCATCAGAATCTCTTGGAAATGCCCTTCAGGCAGCGCTACCGAGAAGTTGGAAACCTCGTTGATCTCACTCCTGGGGAGCAGCACCTTGTCAGAGCGAGTGTCGGAACATCAGCTGTTGCAGCTCCGCGCCTCGAGTCTACGACCCATACAAACCGCCCTGGATGCAACAACCGACGCAATGGACTCCACAGACGTCAGCGGACTCTGCAGCGACAGTCGCGAGCCTGCCCGGCCCAGCAGGACGGCTCTTTGGTAAGAAGAAAAAGATCATGACCTCCATCTGGGTCGACTCAAGAAAGCGCTGGACGGCTAAGTCGCTTGGTCGGACGACAAATTCAAAAGCATGCCTGAAGAAAATACGCCATGGACGAAGCCCCTGCTCCCGAAGCGCCCGAAGTGCAGCCCGCGCAGCCCACTGCTGAAGTGGCTGCGGAGCCTGCTGGCGCCAGAGAAGAAGCCCCGCCAGCTCCAGAGCCGGTTGCAACGCCGGAGCCGAAGAAGCGCGGCAGAGGGAGTCCTCCAGGCATTCGCTCGCAGCCACAGGTGCGGTCGCGCCTGGCCCCACAGCCGAGACCCTTCGACCTAAACCAAGTCTCTCAACCGAGCAGCGGCAGCGACAGCTACGGCCCCGTTCGCAGGCCGAGGCCGCAGAGGTCCGAGCCATCCTTCAACGAACTGCGGCGGGAGGCGCTGGTCCGCGAGCCTGAAGCCGCTTGATCTGCTAGCACGAACGACCGCCGACGCCGCGCGTCTGTAAGAAAAGCACACGCGATGGATCAGGTGATCAACGCCGTGAACGATAAGCTGATCAGCTCTTTGGACTACAAAATGCGTACTAGCAACGCGTCTTATGTCATAGCGCGAAAAGATGTTCAGTTTTACCCGAGCAGTCTCAGCACCTTCACGCCGACCAGCAGCAGGGTGGCACGCATCCCGCTGACGACAGGCGGCGACTTTTTGGACCCCGACAGCATCAAGATGGCCTTCCGCTTCGTGAACAACGACGCGACCAACGACTTCCACCCCATCATGGGCCACCCGGCCTGCTTGATCAAGCGCATTCAGCTCTTCGCCAACGGGCAGCGCACGGATGACATAGACAACTACGCGAGGTCCGTGCACTGTACACTCTGCTAAAGCTGCGCGAGTGGTGGATCAACCAGGCCAACGAGGGCTTCTTGCTGAAGACCGTCCCCAGCACGGCTCCCATCGTTTGCTACACTGGGCGCGCCTATCAGGAACCGCTTCTCGAAGCGAACGTGGAACATCTCGTTCCGCGAGTTTAGCAGGTAAATGTAGAGAAAGCTCTAAGGCTCCGAGACCGCCGCCTCATACATCGCCTCCAGGTCCGTCTTCGGCACGCGAGCTGTCAGCTCCTCCAGCAGGCTGTCCTTTTCTAACTGATTGCGCAGGCGCCCACACCATGAAGAACTGAGAGTTGACGCGGACCGCGTTGTTGCTGATCAGGCGGAGCTTCTGCGTGGAGACAATGGTCAAGATCTGGAAGTGTCTTCCGCGGATGAATAGAGTGTCCAAGGCCGCGTCTCCGGTCTTCTTGTGGAGAGCCGGCGAGTCTGCGTGATCATCGATGACGACCAAAATCTGGTAGAGCTGCTTCATTTCAGCTGCTTGCTCGTCTTGGTGATCTTGCGCTGCTGATTGATGATCCTGCGCAAAGCGGATTTATCCCAGTCCTCGAAGTAGACCGCGGTCCGTCGGGACCTTCATGACCTTCTCGACGTACTTCTTAACGGGCTTCCAGCTGTCATCGACGTTGATGCTCGGACTGAAAATGATGATTCTCTCGAAACAGCCGCGATACTGCTCCAGAATCATGCTTACGAGGGCCGTGCTCTTGCCGGACTTGCTCGGACCCGAGGTTGCTGGCATTGTCGGAGCAGCTACACCGGGAGGTGAAGCTGCACTCCAAGTTCCCCAATTGTCCTCCGCCATGTTGGTGGATAGAAGATCCAAGAAGTCTTCTTCTTTTTTCTTCTTACCCCTTTCCAGCGTTCTTTCCATCTGGCTTTCCACCCTTTTTAAGTGGACTTTCCTTGGATCAGAATTCTTTTCCACCATCCTTTCCGGTCGACG